TCCGAATAAAACACCGAAGCATCCTTTTCAGAATGGCAACCACAAGGGATCTCAAGTATGAACATTCTGACCTAAGTTATGTCCAATTATTGTGACAATCCTTGTTTTTAATAGTCATCTTGTGTTGCTGTTATTTTAGGAATTCAGTACGATCCTAGTTTTAGGAAAAAAAGGTGTCTATATCATCTTTGGAAATAAGAGAGTAAAACATGATTAGCTTTTTGGCTGATATTGTCTATTTTTTAAATTTATCTTTATTGTTGAAAGTATTACAGATGTCTGCTTTTTTCCCCATTGCCCTCCTCCACCCTGCACCCATGACTAGTTTTTTTGTTCGTGAAAAGAGGGAAAGGAAGACACTATTATAGCATAATATACTACAGGATAAATGAAACCGAGGCTGCTGCTTATTAGTATGCAATTGGATTCACCCAACAACTCAGTAGAATGATCAATATGATCAGAAGCTTGGGAGCCTGCAAACTAGGCAACATCAGTTACTCAACTAACTCAATGGTTCTCAACCAGGGGCAGTTTGTCCCATCAGAGACACTTGGCAGTATCTGTGGAGGTGTTATTAGTTACCACAATTTGATTTGGGGTGGGGTGTTGCTACTGGCATCTAGTGGGTAGAGGCCAGGGATGTTGTTAAACATCCTATAATGCACAGATCAATCTTTCACAACAAAATATTACCAGCCCAAAATGTCAATAGTGCCAAGGCTGAGCAATCCTGAGATAATCAACCAAAAAGTATGACCTTTAATACTCCCAAGGTTTTTGTAGTAGTAATAGTGGCAAATAATAATTAAGATGCATATCATTTATTAAATACCTGCTATATGCCAGGCTCTTTATATTCACAGCTACTCTGTATGTCAGTCAGGATCTGACCTTGGGTTCATTTGGGACCAATGTCTCTACCCTTCCTCTTTATTTTTTTAAAATATATTTTTATTGATTTCAGAGAGGAAGGGAGAGGGAGAGAGAGATAGAAACATCAATGATCAGAGAGAATCATTGATTGGTTTTCTCCTGCACGCCCCCTACTGGGGATTAAGCCCACAACCCAGGCACGTGCCCTTGACCGCAATTGAACCCAGGACCCTTCAGTCCGCAGGCCAACGCTCTATCCACTGAGCCAAACCAGCTAAGGCTACCCTTCCTCTTTAGCTATTTAGTGTAGGTACATTTTCCCTGGACAAGTTCATATCTACTCTCTGTTTCTTGTGTTTTAGATAGAACAAATGGTGTGTTTAGTGCATACTGGTAATAAGTTCACAGGAGAAAGTCATGAGGCAAGAAGAGACCGGTGTGTCACATGGGCATGAAGCTAATAACATCCAGACAAACAGGCCGATCCATAGCTTACTAACTGAGCCAAATGCCCGTGTAGGTTGGTAGTATAGACCCTGGCCCTTAGGAGGTATTTAATACATATTTGTTGGGAAGTTTTTTCATAAAGAGTCTTTGGGTACATTTCAAACTGAGTAGGTTTCCAGATGATCTGTTACAATACATCTAAATCCTCCTAGGAGGAGTTCCCTCATGTCTAAGGCACCTGAAATTTCCAGAACTACAGAGGTGTCTCACCTATGTATCTTCCACTTGCCTTTCACATCCTCCTCCTCCTCTTCATTTTTCACTCTTCCATTCTTCATTACTCTGGCCTGGCAAAAGCTCATCCCCTGCCCTTCCTCTTGTCAGAGCAATAGTCTCCCTGCACCCTCTACTTTAAGCACTCCCAGTAGTCCCTGAATTTTGTTCCTGTCAATAGTTTGCAAGATGAGGCAAGGCGTGTGTCAGAATCTCCAGAGGAGGCAAGTGCCATGTGACATGCCCATGCCTTTACTAGTAGTATCTTTCTCTCAGTACATGGATTTTTTGGAAACTTCTCCTCACCCTCTCCCACCCCCCCAAACCTGCAAAATTGGTCACTCCTTTGTGCTCCCATAATGCTTTGTTTTAACCTGTAATATGGCAGCCATTTCACAGAGGAGGAAGCCAAGGCTCTTGTTAGGTTACTCTCCATAGTTGGAAATGGGTGGAGCCAGGACTTACTCTAAAGGCCAAGTTCATGCTCCTTTACCTGGATGCCTATTACCTCACCCTTCTTCCGGCCTCTGTGCTTGTCTGGTACATCCTGGTGCCTGCCCGGTTTGGAGACAGTTCTCTGAGCTGTCCCTAAGAACGCTAAAATTGTTCCATCATCACCTTCCTAACTTTCCTAGGGGCGAGTAAAAGACAACCTGTGTCACTTTAGAAAGGAAAGATGCTGACCTTTAGAGTGTTTGTGCAGATCCAAAGAAAACACAGATGCTGATTGGTTCACCTGGCTGATAGTGAAACTGCATTTAGTTTTTATTATTAACATACCTTCTTCCTATTTGGCCCATACTTTGGAATCTCCAGCCAAGTATTACTGTAAAGTGTTATTGATGATCTCTTGCTAGTCAGATCCAAAGTCTTTTTCTCAGGCCTTAGTTCCTGAACAATAGATTCAGATGTAATTGATGTAGAAGATTATTCATTTTCCATATTTGATGTAGTGATTATTAATAGTTGAAGTTCAGGTATATGGAGGGGGAAATTGGCCTCCAGCAGGTCTTTCTGTCGGTGCTGCTATGAATTTGACTTGTGTTATCATTTGGTATCAATATGAAGAGTCTAGGCTGGTCCACCTAATTGAATCAGAAGATTCCTGAGCCCACAAGCTGTGCCTGTCACTTCATCAGAAGTCGAGGAATCTGTTAGAGAAAGGGACCCAATTCCTCAGTTTCCTGTCTTTCATGCCTTTAAACCTGTCCAGTTCTCTACTTCTCCCACCTCTTCCTCTTCTTCCTCCTTCTTTCCCTAATTTTTTGTTGTGGGCATTCCAGGTAAACCAGTCTTCACAGCTTCATTTTTCCCCCTCTATACCTCTTCTTGGCTTCTCACTCAAGCTCTTCTTATTTCCTCTTGCTCAGGGGATAGTAAGTCTCTTAACATCTTTCTCAGACAAGTTTCCTCTCTCAGTCTCTCACCGCTGCTTCTTCCATCATGGGTCCAATGACCCATTCTTCAAAGAACGGTCCATTCTCCCTATAACGCAAGTCCAAAATCTGGGTTAACTTGATTGCGTTGCTCTTTCTCCCAGGATAGCCATCTAGTCCATGAAAAGAGGAAAATCTTGCTCCAAAGGTTTGGTATCTTTCTTCATTGCATGTGGTATCTTCAGAGATTTGGTATCTGCATGGTATCTCTTCCTTCCCATCTCCTTTGCCCCAAGCTCTCAGGTCATTGCTTCCTGCAACCATTTCCCAGATCCTCTCTGCCTTACAGGGCTATTGGAGGCTTGGTTGAAATAATCATAGCAAGTATATGGTGAGCACTTACATGCATTGTGCTAAATATTCTACGTTTGTTACTTCATTCGGTCCTACAACCACCCTGTGAGGCTTAAGTGCTATTTTCATCACCGTGTAAACTGAGGTTTAGAGAAGTTAGGCGACTGGCCCAAGGTTACACAGATGGTGAGTGGTTGTACTATGACTCAGTCCATGCCTGTTTTGTTCCCAGGGGTGCTTGTAACTCATAAATTCTGTTGCCTCCTAGGATACAGTATGGTATCTAATAGAGGTCAATTAATAAATGCGCGTTTCCTTCCTTCTTCCCTCCTTTTTCTGTCTGTTCTTTCCCAGTCTATGCTAAAATGCTAGCTGCCTCTGAGCTCCACCACCCTTCAGTGCTCCTTCCTCCTGCAGTCAGAACTTCTCTCCACCTTTCCCAGGCACCTCCAGCCCTTGTGTTGTTGCCTTCCTGTTTTGTTTGCATATCTTGTCTTCTGAAATAAATCTGTGAAGGGCTTAGCTGCTTTTGTGTGCTATCAAGTACTAGGATAGCTGACTTTAAACAGAGTAGGTACTTGGTAAATAATTGTTAAATTACTGCATTTGGACTTTATCTGGAGAGGTTCCTGAGCTAGCCATCCTGGGAATCAGAAGACTAGATTGGAATCATCAGAACACACAATCCAAGAGGAATGACTGAAGGGGAACAACTGCTGGCAATCTAAATAGGCGATTGTCACAATCCGGCAGGAATGCTCGAAGGGATCCTGGTCTGTGAAAGGGCAAGGAGAGGAGAGGCACACCAGCGGTGTGCGGTGTGCGTGCACTAACTCTCCTATTAACATCTTCCTGCGCAACCGCAGTATCACCTGGCCTCTGGCCCTGGGAGCAGCAGAGCGGCCTTTGAAAGCCGGGGAGAAATGTTATGGTGGGGCGTTCCCTGCCTCCAGATCAAGGCTCCCAAGGCCTGCCCTGGATAATTGGATACGATGGGCTGGGTGAAGAATGTTACTTAGCTTTAAGGCCTGGTTTAATAAGAGGTGGGGGAGAATCAGCCACATTTTCCCAGAGCCACTGTCTTTGCCTCCACTGGGGCAGATAACGGCTTGGGGTTTGTGGCCACAGGATGTACAGTACATTTAAGAGCTAAGGCTGTGTAAGACCTGTTAGCAGCATGTCGTCCAATCTCCGCGTGTGACAGAAGCACTGGGGCCTGGGGAATGCAAAGAGGAAAGTGTGTGGCCACTTTTCACCTGGGAAAAAAAAAATCCTAAACGGAACCTAGCCAATTAAGAAAAAAAAATCCTAAACGGAACCTAGCCTGGATTTAGAGGACAGATAAGAAACCGATTATCTGCCGGAGTTAGCCTGGTGGGAAGGAAGAGCAAGTCGAAGGAAGAGGAACTGGCCAGTCTGACATTAATTAAACCGCAGCGGGGGACAAAACAAGGGCGGCTATCGCCTTCCTAACTCCCCTGGAGACATGTCCGCTGGAGCTTCAGGCCACGGCAGCAGGCGGGCTCCTGGACCCGAGGACGGCGGAGCCCGACTGTGGGCGGGCTCTAGGGCCCAGCGGCCGGGCGCCGGGGCGGGGTGGAGTGTAGGGTTACAGTGACGAGCCCGGACGACCCTCCCCGACCCGCGCGGCGGGAGCGCGCGGGACGCTCTAGGACCCAGCAGCGGTGGTCGGGTTTGGGGCTGGAGGTGAAGCCCTGGCATTTCCCTTCTTCCTGTGTGAATGGGGCTGATGGTCGGGCGCCGCTTCCCCGCGCAGCCCCACGCCATGCCCTGCGCGCTGCCTGGCGGCCGCCTCTTCCCACCGCGGCGCTGAACTAGCCATGATCGCCTCATGTGGAGGGCAAAGTTGCGCCGGGGAACTTGTGAGTCTGCGGTGAAAGGTAACCCGTCCCCGCTCGGGATGCGCCTCCGCGTCTTCCAGGTCTCCCACGGGAGGGACCCGGTGCTCCCCGCCCCCTGCTGCTCGAGGCTGGGCGCCCTCTTCGGGGGCTCGGGGCTGAGTGAGCCTCGGCTCGGAGAGACTCGGGCAGCCGATTCGGCGCCAGGGGCCCGAGTGATCGCCACTGGAATCCTGCTCTCTTACCCAGATTTTTTTTTTTTTTTAAAGAGCAGAACTCCGTCTCCGCGCCACCCTGTAGGCCCCCAGTGCCAGCGGGTTGGGTCACAGAGCCCTGTTGCTCCGCGCCCCCTCCAACACTGGGAAGTTGTGTCCGCCCGCGGGGCCCAGGACCCGGGGTGCGGGCGCGCCCGGACGCGGGGACTGGCCTTTCCGGAGGGGCCCTGCCATATGGCTGCGCTCTCGGAGACGCGCCCGCGCCCGGGTCTCCCGACTGCCGAGGGAGGAGGCGGAAAGGGGGTGGCCGGTGGCCGCTTCCCTCCGCGCGAGACAAAGGCGCGCACACCCGCCGGCCCGACGGGCTGCGCGCTCCCGGCCTGACCCTTCCTGCCGGCGGGGGAGTCGGCCCTGGCGGATGGGGGAGAGGCAGGGGTTGCGCCCCGGACGCCTAGGCTTGGATCGCGTTAGCTTCTTCGCCTTCTTTGTTCTCCCCAGTTTATTTGACCGAAGCCGGGGAGTTACATCTAGCTCTCCCTTGCTATTAATGCCGCCTTTAAAAGAATCTGGTTTCGGGAGGTGGGGGGGGGGGGGGGAAAGGGATCAAACTTTCCAAGATGAACTGTTTTTTTCTTGGATTGTGACATTGGTGGCGGGAGGGAGATTGGCGCGTCGCCCGATGGATGACAGCCGAGTGGAGCCGAGGCCCTGCGCTTGGGCAGGGGCCTAACGTGCCCGGTAGTCAGCCCTGCTGGACTGACAGCCCCTGCACGCACCCACCTCGAGGGCCTCCGCCGCCTGGACTGAGTTGGCAGCGAAGATGCCCGAGTTACCCCTGGGAGCCCCAGCCGGAGAATCCGGACTCCCGCCTGCCCGCAGCTCCCTAGCCTCGCCACGCCTGGCTCTCTAGTACCTCGACTGGTGGAAGGGAGACTTTCCATTTTTGTTCGAAGGTTTTTTGCTTTTGTGGCTTCGGTGTTGGTTTACTGTCTCCAATTGGCAAAAGCTTTGGAAAATGCCCAGCTTGCATGTGGATCACCTGGGTGGACTGGGGCTTCAGCGGCCGGGACCCTCCGCATGCAGCCTCCCGAGGCTTTGTGGTTTGGACCAACGTTTTGGGCCCCTGGGCCCTGAGCTCCCTTGCCATCGTGACACAGTGCGGACACGGTTGCCCATGACCTTCTTCTAGGCATATCACGACGAGAGTTGAGTTTTTGTACTGCTGCTCAAGTCCTGGGTGGTGGTGGTTGGGGTGGGGGCGGGGGTGGTGGTAGAGAGCCATTTATGATACCCTGAGATGCCTCTGACTACTCCAGACAATAATGCTATTTGCCATAAGCAAGTAAAACCAGAATGGAGGGATATTAATAGCTACGATTCCAAAAAAATGTCCTTGCTTTTCGGGAAGTGAAAAGTCAGGGCTTGACAGAATGACCTCATTCAGCTGCTCCTGTGTAATATATTTTAAAAAAACCTTTTTTTGTTTTAAGCTGAAAAAAAAGAGAAAAGAATAGTCAGGGCTTGAAATGTTGAACAGTCATGGCTTTCTGCTTCCAAACTGCCGCTTGGGTCCCTGCCAAACTGACAGATTTCCTCTGGCTGCCCGCCACTCCTGGACACCCCTATTCCTGGCTGCCCACCACTCCTGGACACCTCTGCTCCTGACTGCCCACCGTTCCTGGACACCCGTGCTCCTGACTGCCCGCCACTCCTGGACACCCCTACTCCTGACTGCCCGCCACTCCTGGACACCCCTACTCCTGACTGCCCGCCACTCCTGGACACCCCTGCTCCTGCCTACCCACCACTCCTGGACACCCCTGCTCCTCACTGCCCATCACTCCTGGCGTCCACCACTTCTGGATTCTGGTAGCTCCCTATGGTGGTCAGACCCACGTTAACAATTAGGGGTCTGTCTAGATTTCGAACTCTTGAAGAATCTAGACCAGTGATTCCCAACGTAGGGCACACGCCCCCCACAAGGGGGCAATTCGAGAATGAGTTATTAACAGTGAATTTTTTGCATTTCTTATGGTTCTAGGGGCCTCATATACAGTATATAAATATATATTGTGACATATTTATGCATTTCAGTTCTCTATTATATATGTTTTGAAACTTCATTTGCTATTTCTCATATCAGTTCATATTATTATTATTTTTAAAATAATTTCTTAGTGATTTCTTCCTCAGTACTTCAATGTCCTTTCGTTCTTTTATTTTTCTCTTTCATGGATGCCATTTTCTTTGAAGCTTGTTAAGTTAATGGCCTTTTAGGCTTTCTCCATGTGAATAGGAGTTCACTTTTGAATAATAAGAATTATATGTCACATGAGGGGGCATCAGGATTTTAGAGATGCTTAGGTGGGGCATGGCCCAAAAAGGTTGAGAACCACTGCTCTAGACCAATGTGAAATTCATTTCCCAACACATTGCTCTGAGCGTTATAGTGCCTTTAGTATGACTGCTCTTTATGGGACTTATGAGAGCAATACCTAAATACACTTTGAACTGTTTTACAGAGGAGTAAAGGATTGGAAGCCACTTATTTGACCAGAATGAAAAGTAGTAGGGCATAGAGAAGGCTTTAAAGATATCCTATTCTCCCTGGTGAGGTGTTGGTGGGGGAGTGTTTAGTTTTTGGAGAGATACATTTTTAAGATAAGGAAACCCTTGTAAACTCTGCAAGTGGATAGGAGTGGGAGAAGGTGCTGGACTTAGAAGGTCCATTCCCCCTCCCCTTCTTTTTAAAGTGCACAGAAGTGTTGGTTTTAGGTCCTGTGCAGAGGGAGGGTGAAGAATACTAATGTATGGAAGGGCACATGGAGAGCAAAGCATTTAAAAATATATCTTTTCATGGAAGGTAATGGAGGACTTGCAGTTTAGATGAGATTTTAAAGTGCTGTCCTTAAGAAAAGCACATGAATGCAGGAATGTGAGTGGTTTTATGGGCAGGCACACTGCTGATGAGACTTGAGAATGCCTGCCTTGGCCAGTTCGTCTGGAGGCATCTGCCTTTTTTTGGTCTACCCTTGTGCAGGAGTGTGGACCCAAGCCTGGGAGAGATGGCTGAGCCAATTTATGAAATTAGATGGCAGTCTGGCTGGTGAGAATTCTGCTGAAAAGTACAGCCCCTCAGTACCAGTGCTGTGTTTTTACTTAGTACTTTGTGGAAGTGCTCTGAAAATGATAAAGTACTACAGCACTCCCCCATTACCTTCCAGTGGATGTCAGAAACTGCGGATAATACTGAACCCTATGTATACTATGTTTTTTCCTGTATATACATCTTTATGATAAAGGTTAATTTATAAATTAGGCATAGTAAGAGATTAGCAGTAACTATAAGGAAATAGAACAGTCATAACAATATACTATAACTAGAGGCCCGGTGCACGAAATTCATGCACGGGTAGGGTCTCTAGGCCTGGCGGCGATCAGGGCTGATCGGGCCTTCCGGTTGCTGGCCGGGGCTTCCCTTCATTCCATGCCGCCCCCTGGTGGTCAGCGAACGTCATAGCGAGTGATCAAACTCCCAGTCTCCCGGTGGAACTCCCGAGGGGACACTTTGCATATTAGCCATATATATAAAAGTTATGTGAATCACTTTGGGCCATTATTAAGTAAAATAAGGGTTACCTGAGCACACGCACTGCGATACCAGGACGGTCCATGTGATAACTGAGCCAGTTAAGTGACAAATGGGCAGGTAGTGTACACAATGGACAAAGGGGTGGGTCACGTCCTGGGCCAGATGGAGTGGGATGGCGCGAGATTTGGTCATGCTGCTCATAACCGCGTGAAATGTTAAAATTATGAATTGCTGATTTCTGAAATTTTCCATTTAATATTTTTAGACTGAGGTTGACTGAGGTTACTGGAACCTTGGAAAGCAAAACCGTGCGCTACCATATATAATGTAAGCCTTTTAAAGAAAAACTAATGACTATGAAACAAGGGGATTGCTAGTAAAAATTGTAAAAACCTGAAAGATTTTCCAGGCCCATAAATTAAAAGGAAGTAACTTTGTAAGACCTATTAGTATTTCTGATGCGCACAATTCTTTGGAGAATTGTAATACCCCTCCCCCCACCCTGCCCAAATGTGGCTGCTGGCATTTTAAGTGCGTGTGGAAGCTCAGGTCAGGAAATTCTCTAGTGTTTTGAATAATTTTTCTCCTGTTTTTTTCCCCCATTAATTTTTGTAGGCTCTTAAGTCCCAGAATCACTAGGCAATAGAATACTTGAAAGGCAAGGAGTAGTTTGGAGGTCAAGTAAGAGGACATCTTTGATTATAGGGTTTGTTGGAAGTAGTCTGGGGTTGTTGAAGTTTTTGTTTGTTTGCCTAGCAATTAAAAAAATGATTCTGTTGGTTTGACTTTGTTTTGTCTTGGAGGAAAGACAAAATTTAAATCTTGGCCACTGTGGGTAGGTCAGTACACTACTTTTGCTGGCGGGAAGCTAGGCCTGGGCTTGTTTGTGTGTTGGCACCATGCTGCGTTCTCTAACTTGGGAGGCCCTTGGCCTCCCTTGTGAAACCTTAGGGTATGTTCATTCCAAGCACTTAGGACAGGACTCCTGGACTCCCAGAGGGGCTGCCACATCAGGCATTGGTTTTCCTTTTATGAGGGGGGTGGGGGAATAGCTCTAAGGCAGCGATTTCCAACCAGTGTGCCCGCAAGAATTTTAACACATGCAATTAGCTGACTTTATAGTCAGGGGCACTGATTGCTTTTCCATTAGATTGTCAAAAAACGAATGACAACAGCTAACACAACAATATCTGTCCAATGTGACTGAATCAACTATACCTTTTTTTTGGGTCAGA